TTCATTTATTTTGTTTTGTTTATTTATTCTGTGCTGTGCTGTGCTGTGCTGTGCTGTGCTGTGCTGTGCTGTGCTGTGCTGTGCTGTGCTGTGCTGTGCTGTGCTTCAATCCATATATTCTTACCATTTATCGGTGGCGTCGCTGGCTCTGTAGGCCTTGGTGTTGTACCAACATTTTCCACATTACAAAGTTTTCCCTTACAACAGTCAGCCTTGCAGAACGAGAACTCCCCCTTACTAGTATTGTGAATAGTCTGACAGATATCCGACTGACATGTTGCTATGTTAATGCAGCCTTTGACAAAGGTGTTTCGTCCCGTTGCCTTGGAAATCAGATGGACCGTGTAACACCGCTGGGCACCTTGACACTGTTTTTCTTTCATGGAGTTTAAGCAGCTTTTGAGACTGTTTCCATAACATGAGTAGCATGTTGGGGCTGTTTCTCCATCGCCTTAGAACAACGATATAAGAATGAGTTGATGCTTTTGATATCAAGAATACCCAAAAAGAACATTTCAATAGCTAATAAAAAGCAAGTAAACATTTCTCACGAGACCGGAAATGACGTCCATTGATCTATACTAACTTACCGATGTTTCCTGGATCTAGAATGTTCCCTCGCTTCATCAGACTCTCAATCTGTAATCTTTTTTCTTCATTGTGTTTTGCAATCAAATGTTCTAATGAGTTCATGTCATTGTCTTCTACTTTTGTTTGAAGGTCCTCCACAAAAGCGGACCTTGCAGCAGAAGTCTGAAACTGCTTTATCGCAGATATCTCTTCCGCATCGTCCACAAATGCTGAATCTTTAAAGTCGTCCACTTCTTCTGTTGATACGTAATGAAATATAGTGAATAAATACAGAAATAGAGGAGAGGAAAGGAGAGAAGAGGAGAGGAATTTAATGAGTCAATGAGTCAACTGTTGAAAAAAGAAACCGGTGGAAAGGAGAGGAAGGGTGCAGCTACATTTTGCATGTGACAATTGCAAATAAGATATTACGAACTGTGGTTCATACTAATTGCCGCAAGCACCGGTACTATGTCGCGCAGGAAACTGGCGGGAAACGAGTCAGTCACGAGGAAATTTCGAGGCTCACGCTTCCAAATAAGCTAAGGTTGATATATAATAATTAATATCGTCATCGGAAGAGAATATCAGCCACTCGTAACTTTGTGACACGACTAGATTCTGAATATAATATGAGATAAGCGACTCTTCATAAGGTCGTTCAGGTTGTCTGGTCTTATATAGGCATAACACAAACACAGTGGACCTTGACTTCGTAAAAAATCGTTTGTAAGATATYTTAAAGTGTCAAGGATTTGATTTAAGTCAAAAGAGTAAATATATAGTCTTACCTTCAGCATTTGTTACAAAGGGATTGGAATAAGCATGCGATGCCCAGTTACTTGAACCAAAACACAAAACCTAAAAAACCAAAMTTGTTAAAGAAACTTAGTGAAAAAATATGATTATTGCATGAGTAATTAAGAAATAAGTTGCCAGTCGTTTGCCTGACCTGTGTGTGACTTTACTTTTTAAAAATTCTGAACCCTTTCAAATTTTTGRTATTATTTGAATTTTTTAAATTAATTAAAAATAAAATTTACCAAGTCTCTCAGTGTCCTCTGAAATTATTAAATTATTTACTGAAATTAAAGTATTTACAACTTTTCCCTTTTAGAAATTTAAAGTTAGTTTAGTTAAACGAAAGTGTAATTGGATGGCCGCCAATAGTAGATGAGACGCAACTCTCTAACTGGCGCTTAAAATAGGCAAGCTAGCTATAGGCATGCCTATCCACAAGTCTCCACAGGTTGGATTATATGGCATATATTCTGTAAAACTATAGCTAAATGCACGGGTTCTTCGCAATAAATAATAATAGTTTTGATGTTTTAAATTCTATATTAGTTTGGGGGCTTTTTGGGCAAGAAATACTGAGGAAGCAAAGTAAGCGACCTCTAAAAGATTAAGAAGAACAAATACGTACGAAAACTTCATTTTTTGTAATAAAAAAAGTCATTATTTTGGTTCAAATACCTACCAATAAAAGTAGAACAGTATGATAGAGCTTCATATTTCTTGAAGTAGATTTAGGATTGTTGCTATATCACTTTAGGTGGTGTCTATAAAATGAACTTTACCTATCAAGCCGGCAGAGCCTTTTAAATGCACCCTTACATCATGGAATATTTTTGCATAAAAACAGTGGTGATAGCACGTAAGGAAACCACTTCCGGTTTAAAACAAACAGTTTGGCAATCTTAGCGTTTACTCGACTGTTCCATGGCGCCGCCCGGCTTTGGCGTCTCTAAAACCATAATTTTTTGATAAACATTTAGCGATTTTAATTAAGCAAATTATTTTGATTAAGCAAAAAATATTTTTTGAAGGTATTAAAGGTACTCATTTGATTCTTAAATGGTCTAAAATATCAAGCCTCTCCCCCTCCCCCTCCGGAAACCAGTATTGATGTTAAAGCGATGACGTGATTCAGCTCTGAAAGAGGTGATGGCCTTTATAGGAATGATAAACAATTTCGTCAAATTTATATTACGTCTTGGATTCTTTTGACGCTGGACACGTCTAAATATATAACTATGGAAACGATGGAAGATTTATCTAGTAAAATAAACTAAGTGCTTACTTTGAACCGAAGGCCTGTCACTTTTTATTAAATTCACCATTTTCCATACATCGGTTCACTGCTCAAACACAAAGCATTCATTTGTGTTTGACCGGTGAACCGATCGATGTATGGAAAATGGTGAATTATGAGTTAACGTCAAAACTTCGTCATGAGATATTCAGGTTGGGCCTCCTGTGTTGAGCCTCCACTAACCCGGAAGTACAAGTGCTAATTTCCTGTAAGTAAACATTTCTTTCGTTAGTTAATAGTCGTCTAGCAATGAGAGTCGGTTAAATGGGTTTGGTACCCATCTAACTTAACCGAACAACCTCTTTTAAACGACCACTTACCTTTGACATTACACGACCACAGAGTCGGAAGGTGGCTTCATTCTTAGACTTGAAGTTAAGTTCCACTTTCAATTGATTAACCTTGTTTAAACGACCATTCATTTCTAATAAAGCGATCATCAATACTGCTTATCCTACGGGGTCTTCAGCAGAGTTTTAGTCCAGTTCCATTCTTTGTTCATTAGCCGTTACGCGTAGAACGAGTCAACATTTCTTCTTCTACGACCATTTCCTAAGACTATCTACGCAACTAGCTTCAGCATATAACTCGTACTTTGAACAAGAAATGTGACGTCAAAATTGCGTGACCTATAACAAAAAGCAAAGCCGGTGTCGGGGCGTTTAAAAATATATTTTATCACTAAAGTCTTCAGTAAAAAATACTTCAAGATTAATGATTGACAGCTATCTGACGTAAGATAGATGACATCACTATAACTGTGCCGGCTTACTGAGAAAGCTGGCGAAGCCGTATGCAACTAAACATTATGATTTTCTTCAAAATTATTCAGAGTATTTTACAAAAAAATTGGGTAGGCCAATACATATCACCTTTTAATTATGATAAAGGTCCTTTCGATGGATGTGAAATAGTCATGGTCTAATGGAGTTCACATCCAGTGAAAGGACGTCCTTTTCGATTATGATAAAGG